TGCCACTCAAACAGCATACGCAATTTATAAATACAGAGCAGTAATTCAAAGTTACTTGACTGCATGTGTACGACTCTGTAGATACGTCGCAAAACTCAGCATGAACTCAACGGCGAACGGATCCAGCGGATATTGGAGCTGCTTCAATTTCACTGCGTGGAAAATCGGAGGAACCGTTACCTTTTGTCTGATCTTTATCGTTTCACTGGTCGCAAATTCTCTCATTGTTGCGATCGTTTATAAAACGCCGAACTTAAAAAAACCGATAAATTATTTCTTCGCAAACATGGCCTCATCTGATCTGCTGTATCCAATATTCGTGATACCTTGGAACCTGTCACACTTGCACATCAATTACTCTATCGGTGGTCAGCTCGGTCAGGCCTTGTGTAAGCTTGTCCCTTTCTTTGGTCACGTTTCCTTTGTCGTTTCGATTCAGAATCTGATTCTGATAGCAGTGGATCGCTTTGGAGCCGTGGTGTTTCCACTCCGTTCCCCACTCATCAGATCCAAACTGTGTCCCTTCTTCATTCTCGCTACATGGATAGTTGCCGCAGCGGTCAATTCGCCATACTTGTTCACTTTCGAGCTCGTTGAATCTCCAGAGGGAAACATGTGTGTTATTAAATTGGAGGAAGTATTCGGAGTGTCCTCATCCTATGCCAGTTTCGTACTAGCTTCCTACATTCTGTTTATATACATACCTGTGCTGTTGCTAGTCATTCTTTACTCCATCATTGTTATCAAGCTCAAGACACAGGCACACCCAGGTGAACAGTCCGCCAACAGTCAGCAACAGCGGGACAGAAGAAACCGAAATGTGCTTCAAATGTCCATTGCTATCGTAACAGTGTTTGTGCTTTGCTGGTTACCTTTCTCTATCAACCTTTTAATCACAGAGTATCAGGACACTTTCACGCATTTATCGTGTAGTTTCTGGATATACTATGCAGTCACCGGTTATATGGCTAACGCGTACTGTGCTATCAACCCGGTTATCTGTTTCATGTTTAGCAGTAATTACCGAAAAGCTCTTAAAAGACTCATAAAATGTTCTTTTGTACAAGCGTAGGTCGCAAAAAAATGTGGTTTTGGTTGAAGAGTTAAGAGTGCGAGGTTCGTGGAACACTCGCGAATAAATGTATCATGACTATCAATGTATTTTTAGTAGTAATTATAGAAAAGGTCTTAGAAGACTCATGAAATGTTCTCTTGTACAGGCGTAAGTCACAAAATGTGCTTTTGACTGAATATGTTAAGATTTAAAGGTACATGGAACACTCGCGAATAAAAAATCACCACGACTGCCGTTGGCGTACTTAACTGAGGATTAAGTCTGGCATGACTGCGAAATATGACAGCATAGGCCACGTATTGTTAAAGGTTGGGCGGTAAATAAAACTCAGGGATGGATTATTAGAAACGTTATTGGGGGCGTAGGTAGGTGAAGTAGAAGTGTACAACTAACAACTCTTAATTACTGCAGAACCACTAAGTTATAGAAGAGGTTATGCCGAAAAAAAGGAAGGAATAAAACGGACAATTATAAACATCTGTTGAATTTTCAGCGCCACCCTAAGGTTTGACAGTAATGTTTACTTCGTCAAAAGAACTTAAGCAAAGAAAAAAACCGCATGTTTTTGTGGCATGTACGCCGTTCGCCCATTGCAAAAAAAATACATAAACCAAAAAGTTAAACAGGAAGTTTAAGCCATGTCGGTTTTAATAACAATTATTGTGCCAAGGCCTCGCAAGGGGACAAAATTAAAGTTTAAAACGTTTGAAACTTAACTGATGGCCGCGATGCATATACTGCAATGTACAGAAGGCGACAGACAATGGTGGGCGATCCAGCCTTGGAACTGTTTCAAACGTTTTACCAAGAAGAGACAAAACTTCAATAGTGGGATAAACTGT